GGAACTGCAGAATGGGTTTCGGAAACACAGGAGGTTGGAAGACAATCTGTTCTCACTGATGCAGTGCATCTAAATAGCAAAAAAGAAACACAGGCCCTTGTGGCTAGCATTTTTGGATATCAAGGGAGCGTACGATAGCCTGGTTCAAGAGGACTTGTGTAAAATATTGGACACACTAGCTGTGGAAGATGGAGTCACTAATCTTTTAAAGGATATCTATAAAGGTATCAAGGCAGGTATAAAGTGGGAAAAACAGGTATCCAAGCCTGAAGAGGTAAAACGGGGACTTAGGCAGGGGTGTCCTCTGTCAACTAGATGATGTACCTACAAGGATTAGAGGCCAAATTATAGGGAAGTGGACTGGGCTTCAACGTCTCTTTCATCAAACAAGAAAAACTTATTGAACAGGCACTACCAGATTGATGTGCGCAGATGATATAGTGCTAATGACCGACAAGGAAGATTTGCAGAGATTGATGGACATCTGCGGTAATGAGGGAGAAAGGTTAGATTTCAGATTCAGTAAGGAAAAATCAGCAGTCATGATTTTTAATGATAATGAAAGTAGTGAGCTTAGAATACAGGAGGTCGTGCTAGAGATAACAGATAAATACAAATATCTGGGCGTATGGATAAGCAATGGGACCGAGTACCTAAGGGAGCACGAAACATGCGTGACGACTAAAGGTTACAGGAATTCAGCGGTGATGATAAACAGGGTACTGTGGAATTACAGTAGGTATGATGTGTTGAGAGGAATAAGGAAAGGGGTCATGGTTCCTGGTCTGACGTTCGGCAATGTGGTCTTGTGCATGAGATAAGAAGTTCAAGCAAGATTAAAAATTAAGCAACGTGGAATAGGTAGGCTTTCCTTAGGAGCTCACGGGAATACACCTAATCAGCGAGTACAAGGTGAAATAGGATGGACATCATTTGAGGCCAGGGAAGCTAGCAGCAAGGTAAAATTTGAGAAGCGATTGAGAGAAATGGGGGAAGAGCGTTGGGATAAAAAGATATTCAGCTACTTGTACGTAAAGAATGTCAATACAAATAGGAGGAAGCAAACCAGAAAATTGACTGGTAAAAACTTTGAAAACACAAGAGGGCCAAACCAAAAATAATTATTCGTTAAGAAGAAGGTGAAGAAAGCTGAGACCAATATGTGGATGATTGGCATGATTAGGAAATCCACACTAGAGATTTATCAAACTTTCAAGCATAAAATTCCCAAGGAAAGGATCTATGATAATACTCGGGGTAGTTCTCTACTGTTTGAGGCCAGGACGGAAGTACTGCGAACCAAGACATATCGGGCCAAATAGGAAGAGGTAGGCACGGTATGCAGTGCGTGTGGAGAGGAAGAGGAAATTGCCGAACACTTGATAATGTTCTGTAAAGGGCTTCACCCTATAGTTCAGGTTGATGGCACTGAGTTTTTCAAAACACTGGGGCTTAGGGACAGGGAGGGCAAAATAGACTTTAAGCGGGTAGAATTAGCTAGAAGGAGGTTATCTCATTGATGGCTAAAGTCAAAGCACGAGTGAAAATTAAACCTTCACTGCAAAGTACGAGTCCTGAATCTCACTATTTAAAGGAAAAAAAAATCTAGTTTTTGGTTCCCCAAGTATTACGGCTTGGTGGCGTTAGCCACCACCTGTTCTAAAGTGTATAGCCATATCAATGCATTCTTCCAGATGCATGGATGGATTGATTGGCTACAGCGATTTCAACTTGTACTCCCTGATTTTGTGTATTTCCTTGAGCTCCTAAGGCAAGCCTACCTATTCTACGTTGCTTAATTTTTAATATTGCTTGAACTTCTGGTCTCATGCACAAGAGCGCATTGCCCACGCCAATTTGTTTTTCGTTTTAATTTTCAGTCACTCCTATTTCAGACAAGTTTAACTTCCACACTTTCCCATTTTTGATGATTATGGTAAAACAATGCTTGCAGCTCATTTTATGCCCTTTCAAGGGAGTAGGTATTTGGGGATGGGTGAAAAAAGCGCACATAACCTGCTTAAAACGCCCTTACGCGCTTGTTTTTGTTTACAGTGTATGTAGCTAAAAATGACGTCGAACTAGCTACGAGTCTATTGAGCCGGAAAAAATATAATTAATAAACTTTAGAAGATTTTTTTAAACAAAATGAGCCCTAGAAGTAGCCGGCTATGAACCCAACCCACTGCCGGCATCTGCTTTTTTTTTGCCATGACGTGTGGGACGTCATGTGCTTCGTGAGGTAAAGCCGTCATGTTATATTTACGTTTCAGCCACTGTAAATCATTCACTTTTCAATGACAAACAGTAGAAGGCTGAAATAAATCCGACTACGAAATCGAATTGCTGGCCGGAACATAGACGTTCGCAAAGAATGTGGCTTGTTTGTAAAAGCATTCATTAAGCGCTCGACCAAATGCATTGAAGTTTCACCAGCTTGTTTGTGGACACACAAAGATTCGTCGCCATCACACGGATTATTAGCTGATATTGAATGCCATGACCCCTTTTATAGCCATGTAACAGCTATAGTGGTTCGTTTTGGCAGGACACTTGTAAATTTTTTTAAAATAAGGAATATACGAGTCAAAAAACCAAAACCAATAACATGAATCAGCTCTGTATTGGGTATGCAATGATGTTAAAATACGCTACACGCCACCACAGCTGGCCAGGGTGTAAACATGATTGACGTGCCTCTTCTGTCGCGTGAAGAGAAAGCTCGTGATATCATCCAACGTGAAATCTAGTTGCCCCAGCTCGTCTGAACTAATCAGTGACAAATTCATCAGTGATTGCAGCTACTACGTGAGAGCAAAAGCATCGCCTTTTGATTTCTGCCCACCGGCGCGTTAGTAGCTCACGAGTCCCTGATTAATTTTTGCATTGATGAATATTGTGCGTGCTTGTAAGAACTCGCCGCCGCCGTGGCCTAGTGACTAAGGTACTCCACTGCTGATCCACAGGTCGCGGGATTGAATCCCGGCAGCGGTGGCTGCAATTTCGCTAAAACGCTGTAGGCTTGTGTGCTCAAATTTGGGTGCATGTTAAAGAACCCCAGGTGGTGCAAATTTCTGGAGCCCTCCACTACGGCGTCTTGCATATTCGTATGGTGGTTTTGGAACGTTAAATCGCAGACATCTATCTTATATATTTAAGACTTGATGTCAACGACGACTAACACTCTATGCAGCTAACCAAACCGAACTCTGCCCGCGTCGGCAATGCCTTGTAAAAGAAAGCGCGCACCGCATCTGTCTGCTGGGCGAGGTGGCATTGGGAAAAAAGGATAGACACTTTACGTCACATTACATAGCCCGTGTTTACAGGCGTGCTTTAGAATTGGCTATCAATTATTTAGGTTCATTTGCTTAACAACTAATCGGCTTATGGTTTTATAACTTGGCACATATCGTGAAAGTTCCGAAGTGAACATACTGTATGTTGAAAGTTTTATTGAAATCGGTGAATATAAAAAAATCGCCGAAACGTCCCATCACAAAAAATTTCCCCCTCCACGAATAAAATCGTGAGGAAATGCGAATGCATTGCTTAGCGTCTTTAACGGTGTTTTGCACGAGAGAACCAAGCGTTAGAAGAATAATGTTTTCTTTTCTTACACTGTGCAGCCAATAGCGACGTTCGCCGCACATGACGTTTTTCTGTCGCAAGAAGCGTGGTATACGTTTCCAGTTCTAGTAGCTAGCAAGCACGGTTAAAAATTACTATAAAGTGAACAAAAGAAACAGCATTCTTGGCTCGACAATAGGGTTTCACAGCGGTGTCTCTAGTACACAATTCCAGATGTTTTAGAGCGGCGCCCAGCCAGCGAACGGTCGAGAGTGAGCCGCGAGCGGATGGGAAATTGGGGCGCAGGAAGGAGAGAGCGCGGACAGAGAGACCAGGAGCGGCGAAGCGCTGAACCTACCTTCTCCCACTTTGTCGTACCGCATGCTCCTGTTGCTAGGGGCAAGGATAAGTGAGTACTCCCACAGATGTTGCTAACGGCGAGGGAGTGAGAGCGGAGAGATAACACCTACCGGTGCACTGACACTGCCGCGGACAACGCTGGATGCCTGAAATAGCTCGACTAAGAAATGCATTCGCATTTAAAACTTCGAATATAGATTGTCCTCTATCTCTAAGCTGGCGCAGGACTAAATCAGGCTTTTGTTCGCACGATATATATATATATATATATATATATATATATATATATATATATATATATATATATATATATATATATATATCGAAGGCCGCAGGTTCGGATCCTGTCCACGGCAAGTTATCTTTATCTTTTCACCCACTTTTCTTTCTTCTCCTTTACATTTAAGTGGCCTAATAACTCCCCTATAACTTCCTTGGCATTATTGTCTGTTAGATCTCTTTAATATTGGGTAAAAAACAAAAAAACGAGCCCTTAAGTATACACTTGTTTCCCTTATATATATATATATATATATATATATATATATATATATATATATATATATAATCTAATGTTCTTTGATTAGTAAAGATGCTTATGATTTAAAGCCGTGCTTCGCTTGAGGTAAAAATAAGGGCGAACAGAACAGGTATGCTACCTTTGATAAATACCTTTTATTGGGGTGATACGAGATAAAACTCTCAGGCAATTTTTCATCCTTCTCTCACGTATAGACCCGTATCTCTCATATACCCTTTACTGTGCTTTTATAGCGACATGATGTTGAAAGCCATGCCTCTATTTCTGATGTCATGGCTTATTCAAAATTGTGTGGAAAGCGACGTGGAAGCCGAGTGTTCAAAGTAGTTACGTCGCCCTTACAACGCTGCCACTGCCGTTATAGAGATTGAGAAGCATTCCGCAGCAGAAAATAGCATAATTTCGCCCCTTACCTTGTATGTGAGCAGTCTTAGTTTGACCTTCCAAGATTTCATTTTCTCTTCGCTTTGTAGCCAAAATTTACGTACTATTCATGGCGAGTCACCAGTACAGAAGATATACACAGTGGTGAAATACGATGAGAGAAAAATATTTAATGTATGATTCTCAACAGGTTCATACTACGGGATCGTAGAACGGTTCCATCAAGATAAATATCTATGTGTATAGTTTTCCTTATTATTTTTACAATATACGTGATTCTGAGCCCACAATATTAACAACACGGGCAGCCATTAAACAACAAAGGCTTCGGAATTGTTAGTTGGATTATAGATTTCACTTGTGCGTCTGGAGTTCAACAGGGAGGCGTCTGGCATCCATGGCTCCTGTAATGGTGTGCTTGATTTACTCGGTGTGAGCGTGAATGAGAGTAACTTTCTGGTGTTGCGAGATGATTGACGGGATTCACCTTGGGATATTTGCACTTCGGGATGTATGCACCATGAAGGTAATCTCAAACGAGCTCATGCTATTGAGGAGCAAATCTCGCTCGGCGTCATGAAAGCACAGTGCCTCATTTAGATGGCATCATGGGCGCGGAGCAAAGTTAGCTTTTCGGGCACAACAGCATAGCTGCCTAATATACATATATTCAGTCTGTGCTGGTTGTCTAAAGGACAGCTCTTCGGCCCGTTGTGGCTATGTCACGCCTTTGCACACACAGGATGAGTCTAGGTACCTCCTGAAAGGCACGCGCAGGTGAGTTACTTCCACCTTGCGAGCGCACTTGTGCTTTTAGCACCACTGAAAGGCGCTGCGCTGCAGAGGAATCGGGCATTCGATTGTGGACTTTCATGTTCCTCTCGGCGGTCTGTTAATGCCGAAACAGAAACAATGGATGGACCAGCTGGAATGGCTGCGTAACTGGCACGAAGACGGTACACACGGGGAGAGGTCGCTCACGAGTCGCTTCTATCGAACTGTGTCTTGACGAAGAACGTGGTCAGGGTGCCTTTCCCCTTTACGTAAGTGGATCCTCTGCACTCACACTCGTAACCACACTCCTGGAGTTTCTTGGCGGTGTCTTCGGTGACCTGCGAAGAAATAAAAAAAGGCGCCGCGAAAATTGTCACTACTGTAAAAAAAGGAAAGTTTTGTAGAAATGTTCAAAGTAAACTATATTTTAGAGACTTATCTAGCGCGTAGATGCCAAGGTTTCGACATGAAAACATCTCCCGCACAGCACCCCCCATGTCTTTGGAATCCGTGGTCAGCAGCGGCCTAGCCACTATTCGTCAACGTCAACTGAGTGTTTTGATTGAGCCACTATGTTTTAAAATTCTGCTCTCTCTATACGCAGCGATGAGTTACTATACATTCTTTCGACTCCCACAAATGGGTGCCGTGATGAGAACCATGAAAAATTATTTACGTCTTTGCGAAGCAGCATAAATGTGCAGACTCAACGGACAAGTTTTCTACGTATAATTTGGTAAAGCGGCGCATCTGCTAAGTTTTCTTGCATCCGCGCTTGCTAGCTGTGAACTTCACTGAACACGTCCCTCTTATTGAGCCCTCTTAGCTCCCAATATACTATATAAGCCTTCTACCTTGATGTGTATGAATACTGTTACGAAGAGGGAGTGTACTCAGCAAACACGCAATGCTGAAAATCTAACTACGTGTCGTTACGTGTTGTTGAACTAGTTCCCAACAACACGCATCACCTTATCCAAGCATGCAAGATATATCGTTATTGAAGCTGTATTCTGTCAACAAGTGAAAGTGAACACCCTTTTATTCAACAGTCCTGGTATACGGCTGTTAAAAAAAAGCCATTATTCCGGAAATACAAAAGCTTCTTAACTAAATTGCTTTACTGACTTGGTAAGCTCAGTGTGACCAGCTTGATGATGCAAAAATGATTTCGGTCAGATCAGATTGTTGACTTGTGGATAGCATCCATGTGGCTACACTTTTCTTCAAGTCAAGCGCTCTTTTCTCGCATCCGTATTGGCATAGTTTGGAAAAACTGTTGGTTGGGTTAGTTTATTATGGTTTCATTGCAACGTAGTAGCTAGACAGTATACAACATGCAGAATAGAAAACACGCGAAACGAGTCGTAGTACAGTGGTCATTCTGTGTGTTTTCTCATCGAATATTACACTTTCCACCGCATAACTATAACGATGTCTGGCCCGAAACCACAGCCTACCAATGACTTCATTCAATTCACCCATACTTATATCCTCTACTCTTTGCCCCACCGTGGTAGTCTATAGTGGCTAAGGTACTAGCCTTTAAGTTTTATTGGTTTCCACTTGACAAGAACGTCGCAAGAAATGGGCTGCAGCCATAGCGACCTGGTCCCCGACACGGGCTTATCAGTTGTGTGCGCTGCTGATCAGCAGCACTAACCCCTGTATCAGCAGACCTAGCCCCTGTAAAGAAGGCTGTTAATATACCCGATTGAGCAGAAAAAAAAACAGCGAAGAAAGGGCAGATGTAAAGATACGAAATATCAACAATCACTGAACCTGCTAAGCCGACCTCGCACCTAAAAAAACATAGTCATGTATTTTTTTGCGCTCCTAAACCTTATGTACGCTAAATCAATTAGCCCAATGAGCCAATTTGTTCTCATAACGACCACATAGACGTGGGGGTTTCGGTCTTGGAGGGTCTAGTGCAATTCTTTTTGCGGCACACGGGCGGTCGTCCTGGCCGTTTGCCCCTTTCCTCAAACTGCTCTCGTTGTTCGTGTCCATCCCTGCCGCCTTTGGTGAGGCGGAAGTCGGAAATTAAATTACTGTATCTATACAACTGTACCGGTGCGATAGCCGTCATATTAATGCTAACACCGCCCGGCAAAATTTTTCCAGGATATTGTTCATTGAAGAAAACTCGAACAGAAACGCAGCAAAAAAAAAAAAAAGAGATGAGGGGGGACACTTAAGTTTCACCTTTAAGAGCTGAACGCGATGGCGATATTTTGTCGTTATAGTGCGTACTTCATATCACTTAGTGCATACTTTTTATTGTATTATGTTACTCGAGAAGAATAAATTGTGAAAAACTACAACGTATTTAATAATGTTGAAAATTGCTTGTGTGAGTGAAGCTTTCCCATATGGCTGCATTTGATGTAACGGACGCACGCTTTAAACCACGAGTAATAGCACGCTTTAAACCACGAGTAATTATGCGCAAAGATTGACCTAAATATACACTGGAGGGAACTCTGGCGCTAGTGTTTATGGCAGCCGCAACGCATGGCGCTTCAGCGAGCATGAGAATTAAGGGTATGACATAGATTTGCTTTGTATTCGTAGCTAACGTTCGTTCTGGCTTCGCGTGGTTTGAAGATACTTTGCTACGAAACAACAATCGGCAAATATTCGGCAGTTACGCTTCACCACCCTAATCGTTGAGGCTTACCGCTTCAAATGGGGTCACGAAGTGACAAACGGTTTCTTCCTTTCCTCCAAAACAAAACCAAAACACAGCAATAAAACGAAACCACAAGTGCAGTTCAGCACCCGCAAGCACAGAGACCAGGTAAATTCATGTCATACCCATAATTACCACGGTCGCTGAACAATCGCAGCGCAAGTGTGCCCTCTAGTTAATTTTTGGAAACTCTAGGATGATGCGTGTGAAATGTTTTTGAACCTGCTATGCACCCACTACGTCGTCTTGAGGGAATACACGCACTAACGTTTGTGTCTTTTATATAAGGTGGCTGGTTTTAAACAACGAAGTCGCAATGATATTCACACGTTGTGAGGCCCGATTGCAATGCATATTCGGGCGACGCAATATTAGAGGGATAATACATATTGTATTGTGAAGCCCATGTACAAAGTACGCGTGTGTTTGCAAAACATGGAACGTTATTTGAAAGCATTTCAAAGCAGATGAAGTTGATTGATTGATATGTGGGGTTTTACGCCCCAAAACCACCATATGAATATGAGAGACGCCGTAGTGAAATCTGCGGAAATTTCGACCACCTGGGGCTCTTTAACATGCACCCCGATTCAGCACACGGGCCTACAGCACGGGCCGACAGACCGGGATTCGATCACGTATCCCGCGGGTCAACAGCCGAGTACGTTGGCCACTAGACCACCGCAGCGGAGTCAAGGGCGGTAGTATCGGCCCTCTGAAACGCACCAGGAAAGCACGGATAATTTATTATTGGTCCTTTCGGTGCGGCAGCGAACGTGGGCTGTAGTCCAAAGAATGAGGCAGAGCCGAGAGTTGATAACAAAACCAAAAATATATTCTCAGATAAGGCGGAACAATCAACACACAGACATGCACACTCAGCAATTATCAAACGCAATACGACATACCTCACAAGATACTCGAATACAATCTAAACAAGGGATAGTTAATGCAATCTCATGCATTATCTCTCCAAGCACACTTATAGACTAGAATCCTCCATCCTGAGCACATATCTCATAATATCGACCATCGTCATAAGGTTGGCATTGCATTATGCAACTCGCAGTGTTTTTGTTGATCATTCATACTTCGTACATCAGCAGATTGGAACTATCTACCCGAAGACTTAGTAACTATTACTAATAACCATCGTTTTCTTCAAGAAATAACTAATTTTGTATAAGTAAAAAGTGTACAAAGCAATATGTAATATGTTTTATGTATCATTTTCATATTGTATTGAAATCGTTGTACTTACGAAGCTAATATTGTATAATGAGTAGTTTTTGTTTGTTGAATAACTTATTTTTATGCTGTATTTTGTTCCTTGTAAACTTGTAACCACTCCTCTCTACAATGCCACATGGCCTTGAGGGTAAATAAAATGAAATGAAATGAGAATGTCTATCAAATAACGATAGTTTGAGGGCGAGAACAGAACGACAACAAATGAACAAGAAGTAGCTCTCGTCTCCTTCTTGTTGCTTTGTCGTCGTTCTGTTCTCGTTCTAGAACTATCTTCATGTCATATAAACTAGCCCAAACCACCACACTTATAAGCCCGTCAAACGTATTGAGTCCACAGTTCTTGGAACAAAGCTTGAATGTTTCCTTTCAAGGAAACACTCAAAGTTTATATAGCACCTGTTCTCGTCCCGCAGCATCTGAAGTTTCTCTTTTAGAAAACTCTCGCGTCGTCAACTGACCGCGCTTCAATAACAAAGCTTATTCGCCGGTAACACATGGGCCACTCACGCGCTGCTTCTGCAGAACGCGTTATGTTGCTGCCATAAGCCTAAGAAGTTTCCATAGCACCACAAGATGGCGATTTTCATCGCTTTTGTTGCCAGAACTGATGTATGCAGATGACATATTAATAATAGCCGACAACAAGGAAGATCAGCAGGGATTGATAGACACATGCGGTAATTAGGAAGATAGGTTAAATTTGAAGTTCAGAGAGCAAAAATTGGGAATCGTGATTTTTTAATGATAACGAAGGCAGTGGGCATAAGATACAAGAAGGCACGCTAGAAATAGTGAATAAATACAAATTTGGGCGTATGAATAAACAACTGTGCTGAGTACCTTATTAAGCACGAAAGATACGTAATGAATAAGGGTAACAGGAATGCCACTGTAATGAAAAATAGGGCACTGTGGAACTACAATGCGTATGACGTTGTGAGAGGAATTTGGAAAGATGTCATGGTCGCGGGTTCGACGTTCAGCAATACGATCTTGTGCATGAAATCAGAGGTTCAAGCAAGATTGGAAATTAAAAAAACTTGGCATATAGGTAGACCTGCTTTGGGATTACGCGGGAATACCCCAAATCAGGGGCCTGTACAGGGTGACGTGGGATGGACATCTCTTGAGTGCAGAGAAGCTAGCAGGAAGATAGAATTTGAGGAGCGATTGAGAAAAATGGGGAGAGAAGCGTTGGGCTAGGAAAGTTTTTAGCTACTTGTACATGAAGAATGTTGGTACTAAATAGAGGAAGTGAACTCGAAAGTTGTCAAGGAAGTATTCAGACAACAGAAGAATATCAAGCCAAAAGGAAACATCGGTTAAGAAGAAGGTGAAGTAAACAGAGAGGACATGTGGAAGATTGGAATGCTCACGAAATCATCACTGGAG